TATCTATCTATCTATCTATCTATCTATCTATCTATCTATCTATCTATCTATCTGTTTATTTATTTATTAGCTCTGTTGGTCTCCTTCTGGAACTCCAGTCCACTCCAGGTCTCCCCTTCGTTATAAGCTTCCCTGCACTCTGCCCAAAAGTTGGCTAATAGTCTCAGCATCTGCTTTGATAACCTGCTGGGTAGAGTCTTTCAGAGGCCCTCTGTGGTAGGCTCCTGTCTTGTTCCCTGTTTGCCCTTCTGAATGAGGTTTCTGCCTCTTTCCTGGGATCCTTCTTGTTGTTTAGATTCTTTAAGACTGTAGATTTTAGTAGGTTTATCCTGTATTATATGTCTAATATCCACATATAAGTGAGTATAAACCAAATGTGTTTTTCTGCTTCTGGGTTACCTCACTCATGATGATCTTTTCTAGATCCCACCATTTACCTGCAAATTTCATTACTTCCTTGTGTTTAATTGCTGAGTAGAATTCCATTGTGTAAATGTACCACAATTTCTGTATCTATTCCTTGGTTGAGGGAAATTTGTGCTTGAATATTAATTGAGAAGTTTCAGATTACACAATATCCAATTTAAAACTTAAAAATAAACTAATAGTTTGAAGTTATTGGGTAAATAAAAAAAGAGGTTGTCAAGTTGATGGTTTGACTGTAGCAACATTTTAATATTAAAATTATTGCCAACATTAGCCTTCAAGTGAGGCTAGTTTAAATTCTAGTTTAAAATTAAAGGCAGTTGAGCAGTCTTTTATACCATTTTATTGAGTTTAATTATATTGGATCTAAAGTATTTACCATTGCCAATACTTTATGATTACTATTGTGTTGAAAGCACATTTAGAAATATTGAGTATCTACTGAGATTACATAGAATAAGAATTGAAGAGGCATGAATAGTTATTACTTATTCACCATTTATTTATCTGTAATATATATATTGGGTTTTTAGAGAAACATGTACAAGAACAGTTATCATTACCATGCTAGATAATTTTGAAAAGTATATTCTGAGGTATACGTATAAAGATAATTTAACTCATGTTGATGATAATTTTTTTGTTGTTGTTTTAGAGTAACAGTAACATACATACTCAAAGATTTTGACCTATTTCTGTTTCCATTTCAGCAGGAAAAAAGTCAAGAAGGTTCAAGAATCAAAGGTAAGAAATGAATATTTTAAAATTATCTTTCAAATGTTAAATAAAAATGAAGTGATACCATCTTGGAAATATAGTTAAAAATAAGCATAATTCACAATCTGAAATGTAATTTTAACATCACTTGAGCCTCTGGGGACTCCATGTGGCCCAGAAATCCCTCTGTTGAGAAAGTGTTTGTCCGCAGGACTCTCTGGTGTTCTCAGCATAATTTTCTGTTTTCTATACTGTCCACATAAATTCCCTGTCCAAGCACTGTCCCTAAGATTTAGTGTTCTGTCACATCTATAAATAGACAAATGACACTTTTCAAAATACGTCCTATGGAGAACTGAGATTTTGGCCATTGACATCTTACCTTATTTATATGTAAAATATTGAAGATATCAGTTAATAATTTTAAATTTGTAATAACACAGAATGAAATGTGTCTAGTTAAGAAAAAGAAGAATTTCATACAGATGCATTCTTTGTTTTGCTGTTCATTTATTGTTACAAGAAGTTACTCTTTCTGGCTGTAGGCTTTTAACAAAAGGATGCTTCTTGAAAATAATGAGGAAAAATACAGTGTTTTCTAGGGTTAATTCTTATGGCTTCTCCATTTTTTTTCTTTTTTTCCTTTTATTTATTTATTTATTTATTTATTTATTTTATTGATTACAATTTATTCACTTTATATCCCAGCTGTACCCTGTTCCTCATCCTCTCCCAATCTCACTTTCCTTCCTTCTTCCCCTCCCATGCCCCTCTCCAAGTCTACTGATAGGGGAGGCCCTCCTCCCCTTCCCTCTGACCATAGTCTATCAGGTCTCATCAAGACTGACTGCACTGTCTTCCTCTGTGGCCTGGCAAGGCTGCTACCCTCTCATAGAGAGATGATCAAAGAGGTAGCCACTGAGTTCATGTCAGCGACAGTACCTATTCCCCTTACTAGGGAACCCATTTGGACACTGAGCTGCCATGGATTATAACTGTTGAGGGGTTCTAGGTTATATCCATAAATGGTCTTTGATTGGAGTATCAGTCTCAGAAAAGACCCCTGTGCCCAGATGTTTTAGTTCTGTTGCTCTCCTTGTGGAGCTCCTGTCCCCTCCAGGTCTATCTCTCCCTTTTTTCATAAGATCTTTGTGCTCTGCCCAAATTTTGACTATGAGTCTTCAGCAACCCTAATTATGACAGAGCGCTAATATCCAAAATATATAAAGAACTCAAGAAATTAAAAGCAACAAAGCAAGTAATACAATTAAAATATACGGTACAGAGCAAAACAGAGAATTCTCAATAGAGTCTTTCAGAGACCTTTCAGAGTCTTTCAGAAATGCTCAGTGTCCTTAGTTATCAGGGAAATACAAATCAAAACGACCCTGAAATTTCACCTTATACCCATCAGAATGGCTAAGATCAAAAACTCAAGTGACAACACATGCTAGAGAGGATGTGGAGAAAGGGGAACACTCTTCCATAGCTGGTGGGAATGTAAACTTATACAACCACATTGGAAATCAATCTGGTGTTTTCTCAGACAATTAGGAATAGTGCTATCTCAAGAACCAGCTATACCAATCCTAGGCTTGTATCCAAAATATGCTCAAGTACACAACAAGGACATTTGCTCAACCATGTTTGTAGCAGCTTTAGTCATAGTAGTCAGAATCAGGACACAACCCACATGTCCCTCAACTGAGGAATGGATACAGAAATTGTGGTACATTTACACAATGGAATACTACTCAGTAATTAAAAACAAGGAAATCATGAAATTTGCAGGCAAATGGTGGGATCTAGGAAAGATCATCCTGAGTGAGGTATCCCAGAAGCAGAAAGACACACATGGTATATACTCACTTATAAGTGGATATTAGCCATATAATATAGGACAAACATACTAAAATCTGTACACCTAAAGAAGCTAAGCAAGAAGGAGGACCAGAGGGAAGATGATCAATCCCCATTCAGAAAGGCAAAGAGGCTGGACATCAGAAGAAGGAGAAAACAGGAAACCGGGCAGGAGCCTGCCACAGAGAGCCTTTGAAAGACTCTACCAAGCAGTGTGTGGACTCTCCATTTATACGTTGGTTTTTAGTTTATATTTGAGATTTTATTCTACCTCTCTGTTCCCTGAAACATTCCAGATTAATCATTACTATGAAGTAAATTACAAGTGTGCTCTTTTCTTCCTTATTTCTTGCATATGTTGAATTTTTTAAGAGATATAAAAATTTACAACTAACAAATAAATGAACTAACATCTGATCCTGACATGACAGAAAGACAGTCATCTCCTGAGCATCTTTAGATTATGAAACTTCTTAAACTTTTTTTTTTTTTTTAGAAAGGATTAATTTGGGACAGTTCACTCAGGATAATCCTTTCCAGTTCCCACCATTTACCTGCAAATTTCATGATTTCCTCATTTTTTATTGCTGAGTAATATTCCATTGTGTAGATGTACCACAACTTCTGCATCCATTCTTCAGTTGAGGGGCATCTGGGCTGTTTCCAGCTTCTGGCTATTACAAATAAAGCTGCTACAAACATGGTTGAGCAAATGTCCTTATTGTGTACTTGAGCCTCTTTTGGGTATATGCCTAGGAGTGGTATGGCTGGATCTTGAGGAAGCGCTATTCCTAGTTGTCTGAGAAATGGCCAGATTGATTTCCAGAGTGGTTGTACAAGTTTACATTCTCACCAGCACAAGGTATATACTCACCCATATAGACATGTAATATAGGATAAACCTACTAAAATCTGTACATCTAAAGAAAGTAATCAAGAGAGAGGACCCTGACTAAAATGCTCAATCCCCATCCCTAAAGGCAAAGAGGAAGGACATCAGAAGAAGAAGAAAACAGGAAACCAGCTAGGAACCTGCCACAGAGGGCTTCTGAAAAGCTCTGCCCTGTAGACTTTCAAAGCAGACACTGAGACTTATGGCCAACTGTTGGGCAGTGTGGATGGAATCTTATGTAAGAAGTGGGAAATAGTAAGATCTGGAGAGGACAGGAACTCCACAAGGAGAGCAACAAAACCAGAAAATTTGAACACAGTGGTCTTCCCAGAGACTCATACTCCAACCAAGTAACAGGCATGGAGAAAACCTAGAACCCCTGCACAGATGTAGCCCATGGCAGTTTAGTGTCCAAGTGGATTCCATAGTAATGGGAAGAGGGACTGCCTCTGACATAATCTGATTGGCCTGCTCTTTGATCACCTCCCCCTGAGGGGGGAGCAGCCTTACCAGGCCACGGAAAATGACAATACAGCCACTCTTGATGAGATCTGATAGAATAAGATCAGAAGGAAGAAGAGGAGGACCTCCCCTATCAGTGGACTTGGGGAAGGGCATGCATGAAGAAGGGGAAGGGAGGGTGGGTTCTGGAGGGGGGGAGGGAGGGGCTTATGGGGGGATACAAAGTGAATCAAGTGTAATTAATAAAAAACGACAATAAAAAGAAAAAAAACCGAAAATGTTAATTTATTTTATTTCTTTTTTTTGAATTTTATTTTTTTCTTATCAGTTACATTTTATTAACTCTGTATCCCAGCAGTGTCCCGATCCCTCATTCCCTCCCAGTCCCTCCCTCCCTCATCTCCACCCTGCCCCTTGCCAAGTCCACTAATAGGGGGGACCTCTTCCCCATTCATCTGATCCTTTTTTTATCAGGTATCCTCAGGACTGGCTGCAAAGCTCTCCTCTGTGGCCTAACAGGACTGCTCCTCCCTTGGGGGGTGGGGAGGCCAATGAGCCAGTCATTGAGTTCCTGTTAGAAATAGTCCTTGTTCCCCTCACTATGGGAAACCAATTGGTTACTGAGCTACCATAGGCTACATCTGAGCTGAGGTTCTAGGTTATATCCATACATGGTCCTTGGTTGAATGTCAGTCTCAGAAAAGACCCTGTGCCCAGATATATTTGGTCCTTGTGGAGCTCCTATCCTTTCCCCATCAGACTAACTCCCCTCCTTTCTTATGATTCCCTGTACTCTGCCAAAGGTTTGGTCATGAGTCTTTGCTTTGAAAACACTGCTAGCTAGCTATGGCTGCTTTTCTGGCATGTGTGTCTGTGCACCATGTGTATGTCCGGTAGTCATGAACAACAGAGGACTGTGTCAGAGGCCTGGGCACTGGAGTTTCAGGTGGTTGTAAGCCACCACGTAGGTGCTGAGAACCCACCCAGGTGTTCTGGATGAAATCTTTTGCTCTTTACTACTGAACCAACTCTCAAGGTCAATGCTGCTTCTAAATAACAAGTCTAAATGCACTTCAACAGCTGGTTACTACTATAATATTTTCTGTTTCTGTATACATTAATAAGTGGTAAAATTGATGTGTGTGTGTGGTGGGGGCGCGTAGGTGTGTAAGTGTGTGTGTGTGATACATTCCATTCAAACAGATTACATAAGATTGTCAACTCAGGCACTTCCAAACTAACTAAATTAAGTGTTGGCAATAAGAAGTGTGGGATATTTTGACTGTGAAATTGTTATCCACATTTATGCCGCAACACTAATGCTAGATTTAAAGTGCATACTTTTGGGTTGCAAACTGAGAATCTGTGTTCTAAGATGTGCTGTCTGATATGTATTCAAATGATGTGGATTTATGGCATACTGATTGCTTCTTTTCCTGCCACGAAGAGCTCCAGTGTGTCAGGTTATCATTAAATCACATTTGTAGCTTTGTTGTTGAAGCAGAAATAAGTTTAGTGAAACATTCTTCTTGATGTCTTATTACCCTGGACATATAAATCACATGATCTCAAGTAGAAATTATGTTTTGCAAGCATTGTCTGGGAACATGTTTTAACAGTATAATAAAATTTTTGAGATGATATTTGTCAGATCTTCCCCTGTTCTTAGCTAACATATGATTCAAAACTCACAAACACAGGATTTTTTTTTTAATTACTGACTTGTATGTAACTGAGAGATGAATTGTGACACCAGAACTTGCTTATTTCTGCTAGAAGGACTGCTGCTTCCTTGGGTATGGGAATAATGTCA